ACAGTCCAAGTGACCTGTCCAGACTTTCTTGTGGGGTCCTCAAAGGCAAAGATAGATTGACTTTTAGGGTGTAAGGGAATGCAAAAGAAGGCAACTTTTAAATCCAGGACAGAGTAGTAAGTAGTACCCTGAGGTATTTGGGCTAAAAGCATATGGGGATTTGGAACTACATGAGAGGCACTACTGCTTTGTTGATCAGGCGGAGATCCTGGACTAGCCTCCATTTGTTAGGTCCCTTCCTAACACCAAGAATAGGAGTATTATACAGGCTGGAGCATTCTATTAGCAGTCCCTGTCTCTTTAATTCTTTGATTATGGGAATTAGCCCCTCCTTAACTTCTGGCTTTAAAGGATATTGGTTTTTGATGGGGAAACCAGGAGGGGTCCTTGAGATGAATTAGGACTGGGGCAGCTGTTCATGCCCATCCCACAATGTGTCCATCTGTCCACACTGTGGGGTCTACTTGTTCCTCTATTAGGGGCAAGCAAAAGTACTCTCCTGAGGGTAAAAGTAGCTGTACCCCCAATTTGGATAGAAGGTCTTGCCCTAGCAGAGGAGTAGGGGTTTCTGGGACAATTAAAAAGGAGTGACAGAAATGGAAATCTCCCCAGGAGCAGGCTAAAGGCTGAGTGAAATAATGTTCTAGAGGCTGGCCTGATATGCCTCAAACAGTAAGTTTTTTGGAGGACCAGGTCCAGGAGAGAAAGGAATAGCTGAGATGTTGGCTCCAGTATTGATGAGGCTGAACTTGTGCTTAATTTGGGGCCCTTCTGCTTTTACAGTGGTTACAGAAGCCTGTATGGGAGGCCCTGGGACCCGTCATTGGGTGGGAGGCTCTGACCTCTGTTCCCCTGAGAACTGGGGACAGTGTGCCTTCCAATGTTTTCCCCGACAAATGGGGCAGGGTCCTGGAGGTAGCTTTCTCTGGGGGCACTCCCTCCTAAAATGGCCTGTCTGTCCACATTGAAAGCATGTCCTCAGGTTTGGACTTTGTCCAGGAGGAGCCTCTCGGAGCACTGTGATCAGAGCCTCCTGCCGCTTATCCTTTCTCTTTTCCCTTTCCAGGTCCTTCCTTTCTTTTTCTAAGTCCCTGTTATAGTATACAGATGTGGCTACACGGACCAATCGGTCCAGATCTCTGCTCCCTTCAGCCACCAATTTCTGAAGCTTTTTACGGATATCTGGTGCTGACCATGTTAGAAATTTATCTTTTAGGATGATTTCCTCTTCCTGTGACTCTGGTATAATGTTGGTATGCTTTTGTAAAGCATCCTTAAGTCCCTGTAGGAAAGCTACTGGAGTTTCTAAGGGTCCTTGCTGTACAGCTCTGACTTGGGAGTAATTAAGAGGTTTTACCTTGGCACTCCTTAGTCCCTCAAGAATGCAGTGGATGAAATGGTTATGACTCCATTCTTCCTTGTCATTTTCAGGGTCCCACTTAGGGTCATACCTAGGCACTGCCTGATCTCCTGTTGGAATTGGGAATCGAGGCTCCCTTCTAGATATCCAATGTCTTTGTCTTTCTTCTCCCTCCCCCTCCTCTTCCTGTGAGGGCCCAGTAGGAGACAGGCCTGTAGGGCCACTTTTATCTAAGTGATAATTGTCTCCAGCTGTGACTGCCTGATCTAGAACCCGCTGTTTCTCCAGAGAAGTGAGGGTCTGAGATAGCAATAGCATTACATCTTTCCAGTCAGTTTCCAGCTGACTTCTCTAAATGCCTGGATGTACTGATCTGGATTTTCTGTGTAATTTCCTAAATCCTTTTTTATTTCATTAAGTTCATTCACTCTAAAAGGAACATGAGCTCTGTCCCCTCTAGGAATTAACTGGAGGGGGTTGAGTCCTGTGGGACAGTGTCTAGTGTATGAGGTGAGGTAGCTGGGTAAGGGGGAAGAGGGGTAGCTGATGGAGCATTAGATGGGTTTTTTTGCTCAAGGGAGTTTGGGGGCTTTTTGCAAAGGGTTACCATGGTCTGGGTATCTAGCCTGCATTTGTTTAGCCATTCTGGGTGGTCTCTTAGGAAAAAAAACAATTGAACGTATGGAACTTTGGTCCACTTTCCCTCCTTTTTACAGAACATATCTAATTGAAGAATGGTATTATAATTAATGCTCCCTCCTTCTGGCCATCTTTCCTCAGCTCCCAGAGGATACTGTGGCCAAGCCTGGGTGCAGTAAAACTTGAGTTAATAAGCAGGCAAGGGGGGATCCTTCCTGGATCCTTGAGGCTTGATTTCCCATCTAAAAAGGGAAACAAGGGAAAATTGGTCACCTTAACAGAGGTTTCTCCTTTTATCTAAGCGTCCCCAGATAAGAAGAAACTCTAGTGGGAGAGGGCGTCCCACTCTCTCTTGCTCCTTCCACTGCCACTCGTGGATAGAGTCATGGAGGATTTACAGATAGATATCTCAGTTGTACCCACCCCCCTGAGATGATCTTTGACCAATCTCTCATCTATTTGACTTGCCTGTTTGCCCTGTGACCCAAGTAGGCCTAGTTCTCCTCTATCAGCTGAACGCTTGTAATTAAAAAGTAACTATCAAAGTAACCAAGAGGGCTTGCATGGCCAGAAGGAAGACCCCTTTAGAGGCATGGATGGGGACTCTTGATGAAGTAGACTTTTGTTCCCCTATATATCCTGTGAGGCATTTATGCTTTCTATGGAAGGAGAGAGAGAGAGCATCTGGAGGCTTTTGCTCTGGTAAGGGGCAAAAACGGAGACCTGAGGTTTTTGCCTTTTAACTGCCCCCCCCCAGGGCAGGCTATGGAACCTGTTTAACCAGTTAATCTGATGCTTGACAAAGACAGTCAAACCTAAATTGGAGACTAGCACTTTCTGATGCCTGTAGGGATTTTTCCCAAACTCCCTGAAGAAAGAAGCTCACTGCTATTTACAGCAAAGGCAGGGAGGGGGACACTCATCCTGAACTGCCTGGGAAAGGGGAAGGAGAGGCTGAGGGTTGAGGAAAAAGAGTTTCCAGGCTCAACGCATGAGGGATTATTGATCACCCCTGCTGTCCAGGTCGATCCTGCCCAAAGGCAGTACTGGAGCACTGGAAGCAAGAGGTGACCTCCACTCTCGGGCCACGGAAACCATGAAGAAAGCATGAGAGATCTGATTGTCTGTTTGCCACGGACATGGCTGGAGAGGTCCAAGACTTAGCCGCCTTTGGGGCCTCAGGGGGGGTCAGAAAATTGCATTTCCAGCCTTTGGGTGACACTGGGGAGTGCCCCAGCCAGAACACCTTTTGTGGCTTGAAGACAAACTTTCCTTTCCACCGGCTGTTTTCGGACCTCCCCTTAAGCTGGTCAGATCTTGAAAGAGAGTGTTAGTGTTTAAGGAGAGGAAAAAAGAAAAAGCCTCGGTATACTTAAATATAGTTCCGCCCACGTAGCATTGGCAGTGCAGTACAAACCCCTGCCCGGCCTCTGAGTTTCCTCAGATTGCCTGCGGACAGCTGTAGTGGGCTCAGACCTTTTCCTTAGTTTCCCAAGGAAGAAACCCTCCTTAACAAGACAGAGAGGGAGAGGTCGACCTGAGAGTTCCACTGTAGCTAGGCCGTGGTGGGGGGTCTCTCCTGGAAAACAGACTCCACCGGAGTGCCGGATGCTCACAGTCACATTCCTAGGCAGTCTTTCCCAGTTTTGCACAACCTGTACCGACCTCAGGTGAAGGTTGATCCCTTCCTGCGTCGCCAAATATGATGAAGGGATGACACGCGCAGGAATTTCAGATGCTTAGGGTTCTTGAGCCTGCTCTGAGAATGAAAGCACAGACAGACTCTAACAGCAGAGGTGGGGAAGATTTTATTTATAGAGAATTTAGTTGGAGAAAAGAGAAGAGAAAGACTGCATATTGGAGAATGCAGGGGGACCCGGAAACCCGTGATCCCCTGGGTCAGGTTGGGGAGTGGGGTTTTATAGCCTATTTGCATTGCCTGAGGGTGGAGATGCCTTTCAGATGCAAACAGGCGTTTCCTAGGGAGGAGAAGTGTCTCCTTGACCACTTATCGCCTTTTGGGACCTCCCGCAGTCCGTCCTTCAGTCCTTCAATACTGTGCCTTTGAAGGAGTGTCTAGGGAGGATGCTCCTCGGAAAGGGTCTTGAAACTAGGAGCGTCATTCCCACCACATTGTACTTCCCCGCGATGTGCTGCCTAATGCCATAGCCACAGGGCAAGAAAAGCCAGTGAAACAGTAGCAACCAAATTCAAAGAACTCAAAAGGTTCGTTTATTATAGTGTGATAAATTCTAGAATTAAAAAATACCAAATCAAAGTGAAAACGGCAACAAGCTTGCATTGGCCGGGAATCGAACCCGGGCCTCCCGCGTGGCAGGCGAGAATTCTACCACTGAACCACCAATGCCAACATGAACTATGGTTTGCTGCAAGAACATTTCACCTCATCTCTAATCTCCGCCCACATTCCACAAAGAATTAGGATACTTTTTTGAGTCACAGTTTCAAAAACATTGCCTCTATGTTTCAAGAGTGAATTTTTTTCGTACTTAAAAAACAACTACTTAAACTTATGGGTTTGAGGCTGTGGGTCTATTTGCTTTTGGCTTTCCCGATCCGCTGGACTCGCACCGGTCCTCTTAGGCAGCCTGTAGGCTTGGAAGCTGGAGCCGGGGAGAACGCGTCGGTGAGGTTACGGCCTCAATTGGCTCCTACCAGGAAGAACTGGAACTTTCTCCATTCTCCATGTTTCTTTTCAGCAACTCTGACTCAGACATGGCTAGCCTAGCCATCCTGCGCCTCCCGCCCTTCTCCCCTCCCCGCTGGGCCAGACCGCCCGAACCTTCTCCCAGAGTCAGCACGGCGCCTCTCGGCTGAGTCAGCTTGGGCGGGCGGGGATCCGCGGCTCTCCGGGGGCCGAGAAGGTGCGGGAAATTTCATGGCGGTGGGGGCGGGAGGAGGCGGATCCCTTGCCACCGGATAAAAAGCCGGTGGAAACGGAGCCGAGCAGATCTCGGGCTGGCTGGCTGGAGAGGAAGTGAGGGAGCCTTTGCTGAGCGCCCCTGCGCCACCGAACAGCATCAACTTTTGCAGCCTCGCGCAATTGATCCCGCAGCTGACGCGCCGCACCAGCGCTAGAACCCATAGCCATGTCTGCCCCAAGGGAAGTGGCCATCGGCATCGATCTGGGCACCACGTACTCGTGCGTGGGCGTGTTCCAGCGGGGCCAGGTGGAAATCCTTGCCAACGACCAGGGCAACCGTACCACACCCAGCTACGTAGCTTTTACCGACACCGAGCGTCTGGTGGGCGACGCTGCCAAGAGTCAGGCGGCTCTGAACCCGCACAACACAGTGTTCGATGCCAAACGGCTAATAGGCCGCAAGTTCACGGACGTGGCGGTGCAGTCGGACATGAAGCACTGGCCTTTCCCAGTGGTGAACGAGGGAGGCAAGCCCAAGGTGCGCGTGTCCTACCGCGGGGAGGACAAGATGTTCTACCCCGAGGAGATCTCGTCCATGGTGCTCAGCAAGATGAAGGAGACAGCCGAGGCCTACCTGGGTCAGCCCGTGAAGCACGCTGTGATCACGGTGCCTGCCTACTTCAACGACTCGCAGCGTCAGGCCACCAAGGACGCAGGTGCCATTGCGGGGCTCAACGTGCTTAGGATCATCAACGAGCCCACGGCGGCCGCCATCGCCTATGGGCTGGACCGGCGGGGTGAGGGAGAGCGCAACGTGCTCATTTTTGACCTGGGTGGGGGCACCTTCGACGTGTCAGTTCTCACTATCGACGCCGGTGTCTTTGAGGTGAAGGCCACGGCTGGAGACACTCACCTGGGCGGAGAGGACTTCGACAACCGGCTGGTGACCTACTTCATGGAGGCGTTCCAGCGGAAGCATCATAAGGATGTGAGTGGAAACAAGAGGGCCCTCCGCCGGTTGCGCACCGCCTGTGAGCGCGCCAAGCGCACCCTGTCCTCCAGCACCCAGGCCACCTTGGAGATCGACTCCCTGTTCGAGGGCGTGGACTTCTACACGTCCATCACTCGTGCTCGCTTTGAGGAGCTATGCTCAGACCTCTTCCGCAGCACCCTAGAGCCGGTGGAGAAGGCGTTGCGGGATGCCAAGCTGGACAAGGCCCAGATTCAGGACGTCATCCTGGTGGGTGGTTCCACCCGCATCCCTAAGGTACAGAAGCTGCTGCAGGACTTCTTCAACGGCAGGGAAGCTGAACAAGAGCATCAACCCCGATGAGGCTGTGGCCTATGGGGCTGCTGTGCAGGCGGCCGTGTTGATGGGGGATAAGTGTGAGAAAGTGCAGGATCTCCTGCTGCTGGATGTGGCTCCCCTGTCCCTAGGGCTAGAGACAGCAGGAGGGGTGATGACCACACTAATCCAGAGGAATGCCACCATCCCCACCAAGCAGACCCAAACCTTTACTACCTACTCTGACAACCAGCCTGGGGTTCTAATCCAGGTGTACGAGGGTGAGAGGGTCATGACCAGGGACAACAACCTGCTGGGCTGCTTTGAGCTCGGTGGCATCCCTCCTGCCCCATGCGGAGTCCCCCAGATTGAGGTAACCTTTGAAATCGATGCCAATGGTATCCTGAGTGTGACAGCCACTGACAGGAGTACAGGCAAGGCTAACAAGATCACCATCACCAATGACAAGGGCCGGCTGGCTAAGGAGGAAGTGGAGAAGATGGTTCATGAGGCCGAGCAGTATAAGGCTGAAGATGAGGCCCAGAGGGACAGGGTGGCTGCCAAAAACTCCCTGGAGGCTTATGTCTTCCATGTAAAGGGCTCCTTGCAAGAGGAAAGACTTAGAGACAAGATTCCTGAAGAGGACAGCCGAAAAGTGCAAGATAAGTGTCAAGAAGTCCTCGCCTGGCTGGATCACAACCAGTTGGCAGAAAAAGAGGAGTATGAGCATCAGAAGAGTGAGCTGGAGCAAATGTGTTGCCCCATCTTCTCCAGGCTCTACCGGCAGCCTGATGTTCCTGGGGGCAGCAGTTGTGGAGCTCAAGCCCGCCAGGGGAGGCCCAATACCGGCCCCATCATTGAGGAGGTTGACTGAATGACAACTCATGATAAGTCTTCTGTGACTTGTCCCTGTAAGGGCTGGGCTTATTGGACTTTTAGACTGTCTACCCTAATCCTGCATGGGTTGGGATAGGTGTCTTGCTCCCAAAACTTCGAACTTTCTTCTTACTGTATTTTGTAACTGAGGTCTTTGTCACTGACTTTTTTTTTTTTTAATCAACTTCTCTCATTTCAAACAAGCAGAAGTCATAATTTATTATTAACATTTGCTTTCGCCTACATTTTGTGTATATTGTTACTTGCATGTATGGATACTGTTATGTGAAATACAACTGTAGTTTTAAATAAACTTTTTACAAAACCTTCTTGGTTTTTTTGTTTGTTTTTTTGTTGTGGTACTGAGCTTTGAATTCAGGGCCTTCACCTTGAACCACTCCACCAGCACCCTCCCCCCCACTTTTTGCTCTCCAAACTGTTTTCCCAGACTGGCTTCCAACCTTGATCTTAATGATCTCTGCTTCCTGAGTAGTTAGGATTAAACACATGAGCCATTGGCGCCCTGCAAAACCTTGGTTTTCATTTCAACAATAAAGTACATGATGGGGCTTGGCTTTCAGAGGCTGAAAATGTTGGAGCAGGTGCAGTAGAAGGTATGTGAAGAAAATTCACAAGGCTACATACTAGATTCCTAAATGGGAAAACAGGATAAGGGAGAGAACAGCAAAGTGTGAGGGCTGATAGAAGAGGGTTGTGCTTATAGGGCAGGAAAAGGGAGGGAGAGAGATGGGGTTGAAAAAGCAGAGAATGGAAGGCTTAACTTAAGTACTGGCAATATGCCCAGTATGACCGTAAGGTAAAGATTATTGTGAGTCTAGTGTATTTGGTTAGCCTGTGTATTAATAATACAAATAGTTTACATCCTTCTTAGCTGTTTCTGATCCTGTCACTTTATCCATTTTTCTTTTGTAGACAAGACCCCCCAAGTCTTGGACTCTGGGGAATGTAGATATTAAGTAGATCTGGGGGTGTGGCTGAAGTTACTGTTGACCTTGTCTATGACAGAGAAGGTCACTGGTTTCTGCTGAGGGGTTGGAGGAGAATGACAACAACAGTGACAGTGTAGCATTGGATTCTCAGACTCTATACTGTGCAGCTTAAGTTCTCCAAACGTCAATTCTTGTGTTCTCCATGTTTCCAGACCTTCCCCCAGATAATGTGAAATTGAACATATTGTTCCTGAAGAATAAAGTTGCTGAACCTGAGAGCCCCACAACAGTTGGGGGTGATGATGATAACATTACCTCAGTGTTGCTTCAAGGGTTCAACTAATATATAAAGAGGTAAAAAAGAGTGTTAAACATGTAATACATTATCAACAAATATTAGCTACTACTAATAATTAGTTGAGTGTCTCCTAGGTAACAGGTCCTTAATATGCCTAATTTAATCCTACTAGCATGTCATAGGGCATTATTCTTTTTTTTTGAAGACAGGGATTCTGAAGTTCAAAGAGATCAAGCAACTTCTCAGGGTCATTTATGTACTAAATGTGGGTAGAGATGGGAAGGCTGGGATTAAGAATCTTGTCTTGGGGACATGGCTCAAGTGGTAGATCACATATGTAGCAAGTGTGAACTCTGAGTTCAACCCCCAGTACCACAGTAAATAAATAAATAAATAAAAATAAAAATAAAAAAGAATCCTAATCTGCCTGCTTCTAAAGTTTGAGCATGTCACTTCACAAATAGGTCATAACTCTACATATTACCAAAACTTCACGCAGATACTGTAAAGTTGGATATATTATTCCTATAGAATACAGCCATTTGCTGAGTCCTGAGAGGAAAAAAAATACATTATTGTGTACTTACATCATTAAATGAACAGTTGTGCGTTTTTGATAACAGGTGGCTGAACCTGTAAAATATCCTCAGGCTCACTTCTGCTGCCATTTAAGTAAATGACAACGTACCAGCAAGGATAAATGTACATGAGTTAGTTCCCAACTAATCCAGTCCATGCAGTTTCTATCATATGAGCACAGAAATAAAAGTGGGCATGGCCAGAGCAATGCCATAATATATTTCCCTTAGTGGTCTTTGGCAGGTAGAAAGGAGGTTGCATTTAACAATCCACTCATCCCTGGATGGATGTCACTTCACATTTTTAGCTGCCTTTTTTTCTGCACCTGACCCAAGTGCTATGCAGTCAGCTTCACATTGAAGGAACCTGCACATAGATAGATAGAATAAGTCTTTTGATACTTTCATATGCATTTGAATCACCTGGGAATCTCTAAAGGCAGACTCAGTAAGTCTGAGGTGGGGCATGAAATCTTTAATTTCTAATGGAGTTCAAGGCTGTCTCAATTCATTCTTATATCCATTTTACTGAGAAGCAAACTAAGACTCAGAAGGGTCAAATGCATTTCCAAGGTCACAGTCTAGTAAATGACAGAGAATGCAGTCTGTCTGGCAAACTTTCATTGATCAGCCTAAAGGTGAACATTTCCATCCTCACCCTATGGACCTACTGGATTCAACTTCTTAACAGCTCTCCCTCTCTTCCCAGAGCAAGTCTTTTTTCATACCTAGCTTCTGCCAAATCAGAAAGCAGTTTATTTGTGAACTTCTTAGAAAAAGGATTTCTTGAAGCAATGAACTCTAGTGATAAGTTTATTTTTGTTACCAGTTTTGCATTTGGTCCATTAATTTCTCTTTATGATGTGAAAAAGCAAAGCTACTGAATTAGAATTGGTGGTGGGATGGGGAGAGTAAGGCCATGGAGAAACTCATGCTTGGCAAAGTTTGACAATACTGCCTTGGTATTAAAATAATTATGCTAATTATAGCAAATTAAGAGACCCTGTGTTGGTTTTCCCATGTTCTGTGTCACTTGGGCAGAGAAGACTTTGATATGTACTTGCCTTAGTGTGCTGAACATATGGAAAGGGTTGGATACATTGTTGTCAGATAAAAGATAAACAGGCCCTGGGAAGCTGCAGCAAAAAAAATTTCATAGTTAGGGATAGATGTGAGTTTCAACTGCTTTCTGATTCCAGACAGCCCCCTAGGTATAATAGAATAGGTTTAGTACTGTATTTACAGGGAAGCACAAATAATCTTCATATAGGTAGTGTCTCAAGATTAAAGAGTGTTCATCGACATTCCTTTCTCCAAAAATTCAACTGCATTTGCTTGATGGTTTCACAGGGGGGGAAAAGGAGCAAGAGTAAAAGTACCATTTTGTCAGAAGTGGGATTTGAACCCACGCCTCCAGGGGAGACTGCAACCTGAACGCAGCGCCTTAGACCGCTCGGCCATCCTGACACGGAATGCATCCTTTCTTAATTTTCCTTTAAGTTTATCAGATAGCTGTGCTCGCTTTGTCATTACTTGCAGTGTCATACAGTGATAGAACGTATTAGTCATAATAATGCCGTGTTTCAAATAAACTCTACCTGAATTTTGCAAAGCAGGAAAAAAACCTGTCACCGACATCTCTTTCCTACTTCCTCACCTACTTCATCTTAATTCTTAAATCTCTTTAGCGCCTTTCGAGCGAGCCTCAGTTTCTCCAGAGAGGCCAAGCCAGGCCAGTGGATCTGGTACCGGTCAATTTCCCTCGCAGCCTCCTCCCTAAATCTCTGTTACGGAATCCGACACCCGGTGCATCCAGTGCAGGGCTTCATGGAGCTGAGAGCTGGAGTCGGGCTGTGAGGGAAGCCGGAGGAAAAATGTTTCGTCGAACTAAGCCCCTGTTTGTCGCCAGGGAGCGCGGTCCCAGACTTGTGGTTCTCAGTCTGGAGTGGCTTTTGCGCTCCCACTCAGGGATCATGAATGCCAAACACCGACAGCAGGCGCTAGCAAGTTCATTACTTTTACTTTTCTTAAATGCATAATTCCGAAGCGATAAAAGAGAGAAGCGTTGGTGGTATAGTGGTGAGCATAGCTGCCTTCCAAGCAGTTGACCCGGGTTCGATTCCCGGCCAACGCATTCGGGTTTTTTTTTTTCCCCCCTGCCAGTAATATATTTCTGACTACTAGCGGGACAGCGACTTAAATTCAAGCAGGAAATACCTGCATCACTTTTTCCACCACTTTGGGGTGTAACCCCTAGGCATTTTCTCTGCCGATTTGCGTTTTGACCGGATTAGATTATTAAGGATTACTTCTCCACCCGTTTCTCACCCCACCTTCCTCACTTCCTTAAACTTCCAATTGTTCGGGAATCTTTGGGATCTTCTGAGATCTCTTGTTTGAATGTTAATCTCGGAAAGGGGCGATATGTCTTTATATGTGAGGTTCGTATGGTGGCTATGAACTATGGAGAATTCATAATTGGCGCATGCGCCTAAAGACCGCATTTTTAAACTTAATTTTCATTTACAAATTAACTGAAAAATACACTAAGGGAAATTACTAGGTAAGTGGAAATTTTAAAACGGATACTCAGTTCAGCTACCGGAAAACATTTAAGTACGTTTGGAAAAACCTGGACATTTGAGTCTACTTTTTCGATTGAAAATTTTGTGAAATTTAAGTACTGGTTGTGTTTCCTATAGAAGATTTAACGTCCCAGTTGAAGTGTAAAATGCTCAAAGTGTAAAATGCATTTCAGATTTTGAAGATGTAAGAAAAAACATGGCCAATTAGTGATATTTTATTATTGATTACATTTCGAAATATTTTTGATATACCAGATTAAATAAAATTTAATATTAAAATTATTATATTTGTTTTTATTCTGTAATTTGGCTATTAGAAAAGTAAAACTTACTTGTGGCTTCGTACGATGTTTCTATTGTAACGTGCAGATCTAGATAGTGAAAGCACAATTTTGCCTGCAACTGGCAACTTTTTTGTTGCACAGATAACGTAGCAATAACTTTCCTAGGTAGTAATTTAGAAGGGAGATCGCGGTTGTCCTCGTTAGTATAGTGGTGAGTATCCCCGCCTGTCACGCGGGAGACCGGGGTTCGATTCCCCGACGGGGAGACTGGGCGTGTTTTTTTTTTTTTTTTCCTTTCAGCACTCCTTTGATGAGTCTTAGGAGGTTTAAATGCACATCATTCTTAAGTAACTTAGAAGTTTCGGTTCCAAGATCATGTCTTTGTGTAAAGAAGTTCGTGGACTTAGGGCAAGGGAAAGAATGGGTGCAGTTATTTTAACTCTGGCT